TGCCCGAGGCCTCACCGTGGGTACAGGTCCAGGTAGAACTTCCCGATGGTCTCTCCGGAGGACGTGTCCTTCACCGTGTAGAGCTGCACGTCCTCGTGCCACACCGGCGCCTTCTCCTCCAGGTGGAAGGTGAGCCCCAGCAGCTCCTGGTAGATGGCCAGGAGGCCCGTGGTGACCACCTGCATGGGGAAATACTCCTTCAGCAGGTTCTGGTCCACGCTGTACTTGGTCTCCTCCACCTGGTTCATGTAGTAGCGCATGTCCCAGGCGTTGATGCGGTTGTCGAACTCCAGCCCGCGCTTCTCGCACTCCTTCTTCTTCAGGTCCAGGATCACGGCCCGCTCCTTCTCCCCGAGGGGCTTCAGCTTCTGGGCCAGCTCATCTGGGAGAAGCACAGCAGGCAGGGTTGGCACCTGTGGTCAGAGGAGCCCGGGATGCCCCCGCTCTGCCCCGGGACGCACCCAGGAACGTGGCCACCGTCGCGCTGCTCTTGGCCATGTTCATCTCCAGCACGAAGTCCGCGTGGGTGCTGAAGCCCAGCAGATTGGCCTTCTGAGCCCGTAAATCCACCAGCTCCTTCAGGATCAGGCAGTTCTCCTGCAGGGCACACCCAGAGGGGAGTGGGGCAGCCAGGGGAGAGAGGAAGCGGGAGCTCTCCCGAGGGAAGAAGCACAAGTCCCAGGTGAGATGCCCCCGCTGCCCTGGCATCCCGTCTGTCCCACCTACCTCTTTGCACCTGGAGTTGAACATCTCCTCCACCTTCCTCCTCGTCTCGGGCACGTAGCACTTCTTCAGCAGAGGGAAGTAGTGTGGGTATTTCAAGGTGACCTTCAGCTTTCCATCCTCTGTCTTCTCCAGGGAGTTCAGGAAATCCTCAGGGAGCCCCCCTGGGAAAAGAGCAGACAGGGCTGAGGGAGAGCCCAGGATCCTCCAGGAATACCAGCTCTGGGAAGGGGCACAGGAAGAGGAAACCAGGAATCATGGCCACACCAGCACAGAGCTCAGCTGAGCTCTCCATACCTAATTCCTCCTTGGAGAAGGGCAGGAAGGTGGTGTCTTCGTTGAGGTTCTTGTTGAAGTCTATGCACAGGACACTCAGCTTTTTCTTAATAGCTTTGATTTTCTTTAAAGTGCAGATAAACAGAGCAGAGTCAGTGCCAGGGGGGAAGCCAGGCTATGCCCTGCTGAGCTGCCCAGCAGCGAGTCTGCACTTGGCTCTGACTCAGCCCCAACGCTGCACAATTAACTGTGTGCCAGCACCACGCTCCCAGGCTGGAACAGGCTCCCTGGGATCACACCTGCTGGGAACCAGCCACCTCAGCAAGGCCCTGCCCGTCCCCTGCCAGCTCAGGAGCTGCAGGTGTTTCAACAACAACCTCCTCTGCCCTTATTTTTCACCTTCTCGTCTATTTTTAACCCAGATTTGAGCTCCTTTACTGGTGCTTGGTAAGAGAGGGAGACCCTGAGCAGCTCAATCCCTTCAGCCCTTTGCCTCTAGGAACCAGGTGTTACTTCCAAGCCCAGGCTGGACAGGGTTTGGAGCAACCTGGGATAGTGGAAGGTGTCCCTGCCCATGGCAGGGTGTGGGATGAGCTCCCTTCCAACCCAAACCACCCTGGAATTCTGTGAGCTCACCTCCTGTGTCTCCTCGGGGAGATGGAGCCCGTTCCTCTTTCCCAGCTTGATCAGCCTCTCCAGGTACCTCTTTGCCTCAGGTTTCAGGGAAGCACTCTCTGCTTTCTCCTGGAAAACAACACGGGGAGCTCGGGGAGCTGCAGGACCAGGTGCTGCATGGAGCTGCTTCCTGGTGGGAGCTGTGGCTTATGGGAACACCCCCAGGGATTGCTTTGGTGCACTGGTTCCCATGCCACCCTGGGGCACTGGGTCCTACCAGACTGCTCGAAATCCATCACTTTTCTGCTGTGTCCCAGCATCCCTGGGGCATCACCAGCCCCCTCCCCACCTCAGCTGGGCTGGGCTTACCAACACCACCTCAGCAAAGGGGTGATCAAGGCCCTGGGAAGGGGGCAGAGCCATCAACCCATAATTTTCCAGCTCTCACAAACAGCTGGATCCCTCTGCAGC